GATTAGACTATAAGTTCCAGCCTGTGGAGCTTGCAGAGAATGGAGTGACAGAAGGTTGACAACACAATTACTACACCCCGCTTCTTCTTGATGCAGTCAAAAGCTGCACGCTGGGCAGCAGCAGCGCTGGCCTCTGGAAGCTGAGGCAGGAGGATCATATAGGTCATCTCTTTCACTAACTCCACAAAGGGTAGCCAGAGCGAAGTCCTCCATTTCCTTACTCCTAAGCTAAAGCTGAGTTTTTTTCCTTCCTTCCTTCCTTCCTTCCTTCCTTCCTTCCTTCCTTCCTTCCTTCCTTCCTTCCTTCCCCCCCTCTCTCTCTTCCTTAATTTCTTTCTATAAAATTTTCATTTTATGTATATGAGTGCTTTGCTGGAATGTATGTCCGTGCACCATGTTGCCTGTGTGCCTTGTGTGTTCCATGAGAGCGTGGGTGGTAGCTGCCATCTCTCTGTGTTTCTAGAGCCTTGCTGGCAGCCAGTCTTAGAAAGTGTGACTTGATGAAAGACAAGAGAATTTCTCTCTGAACTTAGCCAGCAGGTTAGACAAAGGTTGGGGGAGCCTAAGGTTTGGGGTGAGGCTGCTGGCTAGGTGGAATGGGCTGGGCTTGGTGCTGGGGCTTGGGCAAGTGTGAGGAAGCATTGAAGCCTAGTCTAGGAGTCTGAAATTTGTTCTAAGTCAATAAACTGCCATGAAAAGATTTAAGTAGATTTTAGGAAAATCTTCTTCTTCTTTCTTCTTCTTCTTCTTCTTCTTCTTCTTCTTCTTCTTCTTCTTCTTCTTCTTCTTCTTCTTCTTCTTCTTCTTCTTCTTCTTCTTCTTCTTCTTCTTCTCCTTCTCCTCCTTCTCCTCCTCCTCCTCCTCCTCCTCCTCCTCCTCCTCCTCCTCCTCCTCCTCCTCCTCCTCCTCCTCCTCCTCCTCTCTTGTTTAGACTTTTGAGACATGGTCTGGCTATGAATTCACCATTCTCCTGCATCAGCCTCCTGCACATATAGGTATGTACCACCGTACCTTGTTACTAGTTTGTTTTGATAACATTTGATGCCTTGACAATTGTGGCATAATTAAAAAAAACTTTTAAGCATGCAGATTTTGGTTTTAAACTATGAAAGTGTTATGCAGGATGGAATCATAATCCTTACAGTAAATTTTCACCAATTTCCCAAGAACGTAAGTGTTAAGTGTCCGTCCCCATCACCCCAGCTTGTGACAGGGCTGCCGGGCCGTTAAACTGTCTGCACAGACGCTCCCCTGTATCCTCAGAAGCCTGCAAGCCATATGGAGTGTGCTGCTGCTGTATATACCGTGTCTTCCTGCATCTCTTTGGGTTTAAGAATTGTCCTCTGAAAGCCCATCCCAATTCATGATCTCCCTTCATGGGAAGCCTTTGAGTTTCTGGGCTGTGTCATAGAAGGCCCAGTCAGGAATGGCCTTGCCTTCCATCATAACCGGTCTTCTCCCTGCTGTGTCCCTTTCTGTTACAAGAACACACTAAAGTCTTTTGTAGTTATGATATCATTGTATGTTGGGTCTCTGTTGAACATTCTTTCTCTTTTTTTCACCCCCACAACACTGAGCTGTTTTTATGCATGGGTTTCAGATTTTACATCAGGAGGGTCCTTTTTTTGACAATCTCAAACAATTTTTCCTCTTACTCTGCCTGTTTCCACGAAATGTTCATGCCAGTTCTCTCAGTTGACTTGCTTGTCTGCTTGACTTTCTTTTTCTCTTCATGGGCTGGGACTCTAGAAGGCAGAAACCAGCTGCTAGGAAGCACTTATTGGATTAGTGTCTAAAACACATGGATCATAATTCCTTTAAATGGCCATTTGGTATGCCATTTCAATCACTGTACTACTTATGTATTAATCCTCTGTTGAAGGTTCATTAAATTGTTTTCCAGATGTTTTGCCTCTCAGAACATCACAACTGAAAATAATAAATTCTTTCTAAGTTCTTTTCTTCTTCTTCTTCTTCTTCTTCTTCTTCTTCTTCTTCTTCTTCTTCTTCTTCTTCTTCTTCTTCTTCTTCTTCTTCTTCCTTCTTCTTCCTTCTTCTTCCTTCTTCTTCATGCATGTGAAGGAGGCATCCATAGGATAACTTTCTACAAGTAAAATCCGTGGATGAAGAGAGGCAGGCTCTCAAAGTTTGATAAATGCCAGCAGCTATTTGCACATAGGTTGCGTCTTTGCTTTGCCATTGCGGTGTGATGTGCTGCTTTAAGCTTATACCTGCGCTCACATCAGTCTGCTGGATCCGCAGTGGCATCTTCTGTGTAACTTCTACTGCTGAGCTGGGTATGTTTTGTATATTCCTTTAGATTTGTTTATTTTCTTCTTCTGGAGTTAGTCATCTGTTTTTCTGACTGATTGGTGAGTCTTTCAGAGCTTTATTAAATGCTTTATTCTATCCGTAGCCCTGTAGGGAGGTTAGGAGGTTCCTTGGTGTCATATGTTAGTTCTATTGACTTAGGAACTGTCTAGAGTTTTTAATCTTTTCCAATTTAGCTTTATGTAGCCCACAATATAGCTAAATGAGCTGAGTGCATTTAGTATTTTTTGGAAACACTAGTAATGTTTTATAATGTCTAGTACACAATAAATCTTCAATGATTTTTTTTCTTTTGGGTTAGTGAGTGACCAATGAAAATTTAATTTTAAGGCAATTTGATTTTATCTAAAAGTTTATGTTGCAGAAATTGATATTCATAGTAAGAAAACTTAAATATATGCCTTAGTGAAAAGTTAAGTTTGTGTTGTAGCATGTATGTTTTTCCTGTGTGCTCACAGTATGTGACAATAGTCTGCAGAAGGGTACCTAGAATGTTGCAGTAGGAAGGGGAGTAGGAGACAGGAAGGAGACGGGATGGACAAAGGCCATGGGTGTGCGTGGGAGATTCTTCACCAATACCCTATTGTACTTTAATTTATTTAAACATAAATATTATGTACTTAGTAAAATGAATTAAAATAAATTTCCAGCAAAAATACCAAAAAAAAAAAAGAGAGAGAGATTGTTTTGTGGCATGTAAATGATTTTGGGAAGTTTTTGCTGTGCACAAATATAATTGTCCTTACATGTAAAACATAACACACGTGTGTATCCTGTACATATATAAATACCTGACAAAATGGGAGAAATGGATTCTAGGTACTGTCCTTCAACCTTGCCTGTTGGCTGTCCCTGGGTCCCAAGCTTTTTAGCTTGCAGTTTAATTTCTCTGGGACCATCTTTGGCAAATACACCATTCCACAGGGACTGAAATGTTAAAAGTTTCCTTCAAGCTGATTATAATCCTGTCCTCATCAGCCCCTCACTCTTCCTGTATTTTGTTCAAGAGGCACTAATTGTTCGCATTTGGCAGGTTTAACACTTCCTGACGAGAGGCTGTTAAAGGCAAGTATTCTCCAATAACTGTCACTGGCTGGAACAAAGAACCTCCCAACTCAGTATGTGGAAACCAGGAATATTCTTAAATGACCCTTCCATGGACTTTTATCCCTTTAAGCTAAAATTTGGAGAGTGCAGAATCAGTACAAATATCAAGGTGTAGAAGACAGTAAACCCTGATTTTTTTTTTTTTTTGAGGGGGCGGGCTAGGTAGAGATTTATCTCTGACTTGAAAACAATTGTTATTTGGAAAATCTCATTAGCAGATGTGACTGCTTGGAGAAAAAAAGACTTAGAACTGATGTCGTTTTCAGGATTTCTTTGAACTTAACAAGCTCCTATGTGTGGAGCAGACGGGCTAATGAAAGGAAATTAAATTTCTCTGACAACTTCCCCTGCCAGCCTCCTTATTCAGGGATGCTGTTGGGTACTGAAGACTTTTAAGGAAGAATTTCTTTTCTTTTCTTTCCTTCCTTCCTTTCTTTCTTTCTTTCTTTCTTTCTTTCTTTCTTTCTTTCTTTCTTTCTGTGGACAAAATGAACCATCTATCTCCCCTAGTCCCAGTTGGGGGAGGATTCTGTTGTGATTGCTTTTCGTTTTAAATGTAGTAATTAAAAAGCTTTAAAAAAATGCCAGGCTTCCCTCGAAGGTTTTGAAGCTGTGTAAAAGTTTCTGCATACTTATCAACTGGTGGTTTTAGAACGTGGCTGGCAGCTCATATTGTGCCACTGGATTACACACAAAAAAATAATAATCGAATTGAGAAAGTGGCTTGAAGCTCAGAATTCTCTTTGTCATTACATGTAACATCTGTCCATGGAGTTTGCACAGCGCACGTCATCATCACGGCAGATGAACGGCTTAGGCTGGGGCAGATTTTAGATGCTCAGGGTTCCAAGTGCCATTGGTGATAAGTGGTTCAGTGAACACTGGCCTTGGGCTTCAGAAAGGAGTCCTTCCTTTGCTCTTTGAGACCTTTTTCCTCCTACCGTATGATCATTGAATTTAAGGTTTTAATTCATGCCCCTGGCTACAACTGTACAGGTAAAATATGCACCTGACAAAAAAGGGTAAAAAAATTAAAAAAAAAGATAATGGAAATTGCAGAGGTTTTGTCTTTTTAAAAACAATTGACAATTCCTAAGGGTACTAAGTATTTACTTATTTCTAGGAAATCGGTGGAGCTCCTCCCAAACAATAGACAGTCAACTCCCCCTGCTGACAGAACCCAGCAAAACACGGCCTGTAAATAGTCAAGCAGGCTGCAGACAAGCTTTAATGATCTGATTTACAACGGAGTATTGATTGTAAAAATCTAAATTCTGCCATTAAATTCCAGCAACTGCACCGAATCATTGGCAATTCTGGTCATGTTTCCTGCCAGCTCATTTCAAACTGCTTTGAGTTTCTTAATACAATAACGACGAGGGAGAATTTACATTCTGCTTATGGTATTAATTTTACATTTCTCTGAATGAAAAGGGTTAGAAGGTTGTAAAATTGAACATTAAATGAATCAGAGGAGACAGTAGTGCGATATATGACTGCCCTAAAGACATTGTGCAATGCCTCATGGGATTAATGTTGAGTCTCATTTCCTGCCTTTACAGGATGCAGATGAAGCTGTCAGAATTGCAAGGGAAATTGGTAAGTCCTTAAATTAACTCTGGTAGTGTTTCTGTGTCTTTCAGCAGATACGGTTGAGCAAACATGTAATAAGTAATTCCCACAGAGCAAATAATATTTTTAAGAGTTTTCAGTTTCTGATTACTTGTGGATCTGGGAGAATTTATCATTTGAATTACCATATTCTATTATTAAAGTAGGATTTGCAGTCATTTGATCTTACCTCTAGCTTTTTCATAAGATGAAATCACTAACTAATTAAAACAAGTAATGGTTGGAAGAGTCCTGAAGATTGGATGCAATGTGTGTTTTTTAAGTGAGTGATTGAATGTTGTCTGTTTCAACGTGCAGGACATAGCACACATGATTCAAATTAAAATGTGCTTGATAGTCTTGTTCAAGTCTTTACCTTTTCCTAAAATGTTGAATACCAGCTCAATAACCTTGCTAGGAAAGATGCAATAGAAAGCAAGAGGTAAGAACTGGACATCCTAATTTTAAGGCTGTTGTATATTAAATTTCAAGCATATTCCTTGTACTCGTGAACACAATTGTATTTGCAATGTTTGCTGATGGGAAAACTGGGGGTGGAAAACAAAGCTCTGCAAAAGAGTCAGATCGGTACTTGTTTACATCCGTACTTGTTTATGTCAGGTGGAAGTCGTAGACAGGCAGGGGACACAGAGCTACGCAGCATTCACAGACTTACTAATACAACATTGCTGTGTCTCCCAGCCAGGCTTTCTAGCATTCCACATACTAATATTTTTGTAGCCTCGTCTTCTCACTGTGGCTTGTTACTTTGTACTTTTGTCTATGGTGGGAGAGCATTTGATTTGGCATTATATGTAGCATTTGATTAGTCATGATATGTAGAAACATTGGTCCAAAGTGACCGTGGCATTAATATTGTCTTACAAATGGGGCAAGCTAGCATGGAGTTCTTCAGTCTAGTGTTCTCCTAAGCTAGGCTTAAAGTTCTTTAGTGATTGGAAAAGGTTTTTGACTTATTGTGTCTCATTTCTGTGGTGTATGGCTAAATTGTTTTGATTTTGCTCATTATTAAGTGTTCTTGGTTGTTTGTTTTGGAAAACTGCCTTGGATTTAAGACCAGAATATATAATATTTTATCTTTTGACAACATCTTCTTTGCTTGTTTAATTCTTTGAAGTTCAGAAGCATTTCAGTACTAATTTCACAGTGAGACTTGCTAGGTTACATAACACTGCTATCTGTGGGTTAACTCATTGGTAGCTCCCACTCCCCAAGAAACACTCAGCTGGCTTCTGAGATTTTCCTAAAGTAGCTTAGTTTTATTCATATACTTTCAAACTCAAAATGGCTTCTTTTTAGTTACAGTTTAGATATCACTACCTACCCAACAGTCTATGATAGTATTATCTTGTACTAGATAATATGTAATATCATTATTGTAATGTTATGAGGAACTTTGGAAAGCAAAAAGAGCTTAGAGGATAATCTAGAATTACATGTCATGCTGTGAATCACACATCTTCCACTCAAGAACACTTCCTTTGATGAAACAGTGGATGCTTAGCCTTTGCTCCCATCCACCTTCGTTTAATACCTGTGGCTTCTCAGCCAACCAGTTAACCATAGTCACTTAGCTCTTCAGCGTTTGGAAGCTGGTCTTCAGTCTCCTCCTCTGCTGAGGTCACCTGACTTCCATTCAAGCCTCTTTCCTTCATGCTTGGGTGGGTTCTTGATGGTTCTTTCCTCTTCCCTATGGTTTTTTTTTCTCATTCTTCCCTTGTTCCCTCTCATTTGTGAAATACAAGTTTGTGATCGTGGCTATTAAATAGAAGCTTGTAGTGTCCTCAGTAGACCGGAAGGAAGAGAAACCATCAAATTTGAAGTGAAATGAAACACAGTTAAAAAAAAAAAAAGCTGGGTCATCGGCTTTACAAGGCTGTAGGAATTTCCCAGCAATCCCTTCCACATTATGCAGAAACATGTGAAACCCCCTTTTTTAAGTTCTGCCTTCCAGAATCAATTACACAGTATTTAGGTGTGTGTGTGTGTGTGTGTGTGTGTGTGCGTGCACGCACGTGCGTGCTTGGATGTGTGTGTATGTGTGTGTGGACATATGGGTGTGCCATTTGGTGATATAGCAGGCTTTTTTCTACTATTGTTGAGGTATATCACACTTATAATTCTGATTTGTATGGCCATTTTAAGTTCACCTAAGTGTTAAAGTGGACATTGAGTCCATGGGGGAAACAGAATTATAAGCAGCATATCTTTGAACCCGTTTTGTTGTTATTGTTGTTTTTTGCCAGTTTCTATCTTATCTTTTGAGATTTGTGTCCTGTGATTCTTTCTGGCTTCTTTCTCTTCTTCTGTGTTGCTGGGGAAGCAAGGCCTGGGCTTCACACTGCAGGGCCCATGCCCTCCCAGTGAGCTGTGCACTCTCTGCCCTGCTCAGAGACTGTCATCTTTTACCTCGTTTTGTGCTACGTGGTGAAAATAAAAGTTTCTTGTGCCTTCCCTCTCTCAAATTTGTATTTATTTTCTGGAAGTACCTATATGCTGCTATAGCTAGAAAGGAATTATTGGACACTATAACTGGAGTTTTTAATTTGTCTAAATAATAAAAAGCCAGAGTCAGATAGAGAGGGAAATGCTGAGAGATCAGAGAGAAGGAGCAAGCCACAGCACACCTTAGCTCCTTAGCGTCTCAGCAGACAAGATAGTGATTTCCTTTTTCTCCCTGCTCCCTGCTTATATCCTGTTTCTGCACAGCTGTCTCACTTCCTGCCTGTCTGTACAAACCTCCAGACCTCTATGGTTAGCTAGCGGCAAGCTCCATTCTCTGATCTTCAGACAGGCTTTATTTGTACAAGCAAGATATCACCACAGGACTCTTTATTATTATTATTATTATTATTATTATTATTATTATTATTATTTAAATATAGCTGTAGCTCCAATTTTGGAATGTTTTCTTCTATGTGGCATCCACTTTGGAAATGGTATTTCTTTTTATTATTAAAGTTTTTCTTATAATTACAACTCATATTTTATAATTTTTAGAGGTAGGTTCTCTTTTTTCATATGTAAATGTTATACTGTATTGGAAATGCTGTTTCCATTGCCACTTCTTGGACTTAATTATTTTCATTTACATTTATAGAAAAGTAAGGAATAGATTGGTCATTTGCTCAGTGTCAGCATCTTTTGGTTTAAAGTAAAATTTCTTTAGTTCAAAGACCATGTCTTTCATTATAGTTTGGCTGACTTATTATGATTTGGGGATGACTATAGTTGTATGAAATACTACAGGTATTAAAGGAGACAGCCTCTGATGATTGACAGGGTGAGAGTGATGGGGGAAATCTTCTGTACATATGTTTCTCTTATTGGTTGATGAATAAAACACTGTTGGCCAATAGGGAAGCAAGATAGGTGGGACTAGGAGACAAGGAGGATTCTGGGAAGTGTAGTAAGAGAAGTCGTCATGTGACCCTGGGATGAGAGGATGCATGAGTCTGGCGTTCTCGGTAAAATAAGACCTTGTAGAAATACATACACTAGTAGTTATGGGTTAATACTTAAGACAGAGCTAGCCAATAAGAAGCTGTAGACATTGGCCAACATCATTATAGCTAATAGAGTCTCCATGTGTTATTTGGGACTGAAGCGGCACTGGGACCAGGCTGGAGGGAAGAGTTATCGTAACATGAGAGACGGTCCGTACGTCATACGTTCTTCTGTGGATTTGTTTGTGGACTACTTTGCATCCCTTATTCACACTACCATTGGTATTGTTGTTTTTTCTTGTGGCTTCAGGGATTAGCCAAACCAGGCCTGTTGATTTCTAGTTGTTTTAGCTACCATGGTAGGTCACAGTAATCATCGAGCTTCATTCCTCTCTGTCCCCATGCTGTGTCTCAGTCACATTGTTTTTCTTGACTGCCCAGCTTTCAGGGCCTCAGAAGATGGCAAGAGAGTCTTGGAGGGCTTCCTCATGTCCTGGCCCAGGTAACTTCTCAGAATCTCTCATATCCCGGTTTAAATATCACATCCTCTCCAGGAGTTACCCCAGTCATGATGTCTTCTGTCAAAGATATTTCTGAATAATACTCACACCAGTTACAAATCATATTCTTAACTTTCCCCCGCCCCTCATTGTGAAACTTTCCAATCATTCAGAACTTTTGAAAGAATTTTGCAGTGCATAGTATATACTCAATACCAAGAACCACTATAAACACTTGGCTAGGTTCTCTTACTTGTCATTTGCTAGTCCGTTTTACTTAAATAAATATTGTGTAGGATTAGAAGATAATTTTTGGGAGTCATTTTGTTTTTCCATCTACTGAGGGTACTAAGGATTGAACTTAGGTCATCAGGCTTGGAGGGCGAGCGTTGTTACCTACAAATACGCCGTCTCACCTGCCCCTATCTTATTCTCATCGCTAGTTAAAATGAATTTCATATGCTGTTACATGTCTCACTAAGTATTCTAAACATATAAGTCATTGACTGAATTTGGTACCTGTGAGGCGTTATTATTTTTGCATATAATGATGTGAACAAATTTTGTATGTATTGCCGACTTTGTCATATCCATACATCTGAACCACACAAGAGTTCAGACCAACGGTACTCTTTTCATTGCTCCTTCTATGTCAGTCTGACTCCCTCTAGGACTCTGGAGGTAATCACTTCTAATTCTTAAGGAACTATTAAAAGGAGCCAAACTCAACTTGTAAAGAAGTATTCAAAAGAAAAAAATATCAAATTGTAGCATGTCTCACACAGTGTTGTGCTTGCTCTGCAATGCTTCTAGATTTATCTCCATGCGTTGTCCTTTGCCTAACATAGTGTGGAATTTTCTGCAGGAAGTATATTTTAAAAAAATAATAAATTACGTGTTGATTGATTGTATATGTGTGCTTGTGTTTACGCATTTGTTAATGGCCAAGGACAAGTGTATGAGTTGTTCTTTTCCTCCACTGCGTAGGGTACAAGTATTGAACTTGGCTTATCAGTCTCGC